GCCAAAGACGCATACGGCTGCAGTGTGCTCGTCTGGGCCGCACGGAATGGCTACTACGACGTCTTTGAGTACCTCTTGGGCCATGGCGCCGAGATCGAGTCAGTCTCGTTTGGCGGCATGACGGCCCTCCACCACGCGGTCAACCACTGCCGGCTCAACGTCGTCACCAAGCTGCTCGAGCTCGGCGCGTCGGTCGACGCCAAAGACGACGGTGGCAACACACCGCTGCACCTCGCGGCCGGTCGCGGTATCCTGAACCCTGTCATGTCGCTCCTAAGTGCGGGCGCCAACGTCAACGAAGTCAACCTCCAAGGCGTGACGCCGCTCCACAAGGCCGTGAGCGGCGGCCACGGCCCGTGCGTCGAGAAGCTCCTCGAAGCACGTGCAGAGCCCAACATTGCCAACGCCGAGGGCAACACGAGCGTGCACTTGGCGGCGCGCGGTGGGTTTGACGCGCTCGTACTGCTTCTTTTGGAGGCGAAAGGCAGCGCCAACCTTAAAAACAAGGCTGGGAAGCTCCCAAAGGACGTCGCGCTCACGCCCGAGATCGCCAAGCGCTTGTAAGTCATACAACTGTTTATTTCTTCTTCTTGTTGTACTCGTAAAAGAAGGTAGGAAGGCTCTTGTAGGCCTTGAACTCGTCGTCGTCGCCGTCTAGAAAGCACGTGTGACGAGACGGCGCGAGCGAGACGATGACCGTACCGGTTGCCGGCGCATTGGAGAAGCGAGACCGGCCTTCGTATAGCGCGCTGACTTCCTTGCCGTAGCTATGGAGGCGTCATGAATGGGCGAGATGGCGACGAGGAGGTGTACCGGTCCCATGTCAGCCAGATGAGGAAGCTCAGGAAGAGGAAGAGCACGCTGAGCCCAGCGATGAGCTTGGATGACATCGGCATGCCATCTACCGAGGTCATACGTGCATGCTATGCGAGGCCATGGTCGCACCGAGGAGGTTGTTCTGGAGCGTGTACAGGCGGCTCGCCTCGGACGCCATGGCTGCCAGTTTATAATCCGGATAGTCCGGATAATCGACCTGCCAGATGAGCCAATAGGAGCGCTGGCCGTTTCCGACGATAGCGGTGCTGAGGGTGTTGCAGCTTCTGCAATGCAAGGACAACCTGTACCCTCTACTCTGTAATACTGCGTCCGGTACCAAACCAGCTACATGAAGCGCGATGCAAATGCCTAGCTCAGCCTGCGATGACTACGCCATGGAAAAGCGGTGGAACCTGCCGGTTCAACGCCCGACGACCCGCTTTTTTTTGCATTGAATGACGTGGGGTAGTCGAGAGCGATGTTGCGTGGTGAGTCTCGATGCTGCGTGGTAGTACCGGTACGTACTACCAAAGGCAGTGAGTGAGTAGTAGCTGGGGGGCACACTGGTGGCGCAGCTTGTCTATCGCGCTGAGCATGGTGGTTTTCGTAATCATTTGCATTTGATTGGCGAAGAAACCGTCACGGCGGCCCTTTTTCTACGTCACCGTTAGCGCAGTCTCCACTCTGTCTCAATCCCGTTGACCATCTCTTGCTGTCAACGGTTAAACGCGGCGCCAGCCTAGTCAGGGGCTCAATAGATACTAGGACTTCAGCGAGGCTTACCTGCAACATAGCAGCTTGATCCGTTCGTGCACGCTCTGGCCGCCTTCAAATTCTGGCCTGGAGTTTAAGGGGCGAGCCGGGAGCTGGGTGGTGGCTTGCGTACAGAGATGCGACGAAGAACGAGCCCATCAAAACCGCTAGCGACCTGCATCGTGTTTTACTAGTATCTTTGCAGAGGTGTAATAAACCTCGGCGCGTGTTGTGCTCTTCCGAGTGTCTCGGCGGCATTACCGGGAATGGCGACAGTGAGACAGTACAGAGAGTGTGTTTACCTGTTGAGTCATTCTCAAGAAATCCCCTCGGCATCCGGACACGGTATCCGTATTGGAAACGCCATCAGTGTGGATACCATCTTGATAATAATATTGCGGTTTGTCGCGTATTATAATAATGGGATTCAAATTGCATCGTATTCTACGGTGCAGAGGATCAAGAAAGATATAAATATGGTCGGAGAATAGCGTGAAATCGTATTTTAATATGTCCCTTCGTTAAAGTTGCGGCCATTTCATGCGCTAAGTTGCTCTTCAGTTTGCCGCAAGCAGCATGCCCGACATCATCGAGTTCGCGCTCGGGACGATCCTCGGCAACATGAGCACGGCCGTGGTGCTGGCGCTCGTCTACTTCAACTTCCTCCTCTTCGAAGACTACTTCCGCGTCATCATCTGGAGCATCCTCTTCAGCCAGGCGCTGCGCGGCGCCAAGGAAAACGTCTGCCGCATGCTTGCCTATCTCAGCCACGCCAACGAGATCCAACGCGACGTACGTACTTGCTATGTTTCGCGTAGCCTCGCCGCTCATGCAATGCTGCTAGGGCCTTCTCTACTCGATCGTGACGCAGCTCGGGCCGTACCTTATGCGGTCGTCCGGTCCGACCGACCTCGCGCACAAGCAGCGCCGCATGCAAGAATTCATTCTCGACAACGGCATCTTCATCTTTGCGATGATCGGCGCCGTCTCGATCTACGTGCGCATGTTTAGCTGGCTCTCGTTCGTGCAGCTCGCGATCGCGCTCCTGCTCTGCGTCGTGGCGTTTGTCTGGGTCGCCGACCGGCGCATTTTTCACTACCGCATCTTTGTGTCGGACGAGGTTCTTGTCTCGACGCTGCTGTTACTGGGCTGCTGCACGATCGTACGTCCTTTGATGCATTGGAATGTGAGCTTGAATGGGACGCCTAGGGCGTCTTTGTCCTCGTGTTTCTCGGTACCGAGAGCTACGTGGAAGGCTCCCGCGCTGCCATGCACTTTACGAGCTGGGTGCACACGAACGTCATCAACGACGAGCGCACGCGGAAGATGTGGGGCGACCAAGTGCACAACGGCAAGGCCATGGTGGCCTCGGGCCTGCGCGAGATCGAGGGCCAATACAACTCGACCATGTGGTTTGGTCCGCTCAAAGCGTTGGTGCTTTCGTACTATGACGCGAGCGACGGCGCCGTGCCAGTGGTCTCGGACCCGATCATCAATGCGACGACGGTCGCCACGATGCTCGACATTCCGACCAACATGACGTGGACGTCGGTCCGTTCTGCGATATATGGTTTTTTATGGAACAAAAGGTTGACGTGGCATTTCGGTAGGTGTTTACCCTCGCGTACGCGCAGTTTAACCTGACCTCGACCGACGTGACTGACTGGACGAGCAAAGGCCTCGAGATCTCGTCGATGGCGTTTGGCTCGGTGTTCCAGATTGTGTTTTTCGTGCTCACGTTTGTGATTGCATTCATCAGCATTGGGATCAAGGCCGTCTTTTTTGTCACGTCGCTCTTTTACCTCCTCTGCACCAAGTGGGACCCGATCGAGCGCGTACGTTGAGCGCTTCCTTCTTGACTTGTCGGGGCTGATGGTGTAGAAATGGCTAGTTTGTCTATGATTTGATGCCGATTTCGCCCGAGAAACGCCCGGCGCTCGTCAACTCGCTGCGACGCTCGATCGAAGGCGTGTTTTCATTGCCAATGAAGATTTCAAGTCTCCACGCGATTGTGACGTTGGTCTCGCTGAGCATGATGGTACGTCATCTCGCGTCTTTGTTTCGATTTTTGAAAAAAACATTGAAAGATTGATATTGGTGGGGTTAGGCCAATGATTTCGTGTACCTGGGAACCTTTATCACGTTTTTCATTTCGATCGTGCCCATCATCCCCGCGTACCTCGTGTGCATTCCGTGGGTGCTCGCGCTGTGGTCATCCACGTCGATCGTCAAAGCCCTTCTGCTCTTTGTCATTCATTACGTGGCGTTTTCCTGGATCGATCAAGTGCTCTACGAGAAGAGCTTGACGTCCATCAATGCGTACGTCTCGGCGCTCAGCGTTGTCTTTGGTGTCTACGTCTTTGGCCTCGAGGTACACAACAACGTCGGTCGTCTCGAATCCCTTTTTCTATCGCGGGCTCTCTAGGGCGTTGTCTTCGGTCCGCTTTTGGTCTGCGGTGTCAACTGGGCCTACGAGGTCTCCAACCACGGCATCCAAGCAGCGTCCATGGACGAGCTGAGAGGCCGATCGCCGCGAAGGTGCGACAAGAGGTCGTCCGGAGTTGTTTGACTCAAAAAATGGTTTTTGTAGAGCGACCCACGATGCAGGGCAACATCTTTTCGAACGCGTATCGCGCCATCTCGGGTGGCCTCAACGACAATCTCTCGCGACGCTTCTCGTTTGACGCGACGTCGCCCGCGACCGTGTGCGTGACGCTCCAAGTCCACGCGCTGCCGTCTTCGCCAACGCTGTTTTCCGCGCCGAGCCGGGACGCGCCGCTGGTCCGCTTCATTGCGTCCA